TACCTAGTACACAGGGGAATACACGAACGCCAAGTTAAGTAATAGTGTATTCGTTGTACAACTAGCTGCATGAAACAATGCGACGTATTTTTTTATCACAGAGATTTTCCAACTAACTTAGAAACAATGTTACTACGTTGTGTGTAACATTCTTTATACGACAATATTTATCTTGGTACGATGTTAAATATGTAAATAAGTATGAAATTTACTGCCATTTGGAAAATTAAGATACCGTCCGTCGAAGCATATTAATTAAAACGTAAATATTTGAAATTTTCCGCTGTAAAGTTAAACATACCGCATTGGAGTCAACCATTGACATTTACTCCGCAAACTTAATGATAAAGTACAAATCACATTAATTGAATACTCAATCAATGTTATTCTACTGCCAGCTATTACACCGTACTAATAGTGGTAAATGCTAGCACATTTCACCCACAGACATGTGTACATAACGATTCGCTTTAACTCTTTACGATTCTGTACTCAATATATCGCATTTATAAGTGATATTTGGAATACACGTCAAAAATTGTCGAAAGTACCATTTTCATTTATTGTTATTATTACTAAAAATTTATTACTAAAAGTGTTCGCGCTGCATTTGACTTTGCAATAACATAAAATATAATACTTACACTACGTTAATAAGTATTATTTTTAAATACTAAAATATTATTATACACATATGAGAAATAATTTCATTTTTTTAGTTAGAGATAGCGTAGTGTTCAGTGTTGAAAGACTCATATTATAAGCTACTCTGGAATGTTCAAAAAACATTTTTTTTTCATTGTCAATTTATACATTGGAAAAAACATAGACATTCAAAATGCATTATGTCCTTTAATTACAGACAAATAAATGCATTTGTTAAACAATTTGTTAGCAATGCTTTAGCAATTCTATTTAACACGGATTGACATATTGTTATTTTCTGTAAAGCAGTTTTCTTGTGGTTTTCTTTCTCTTTTCTGAAAATTATAAATTTTTAGCAAAACACATTTTGAAAGTCTGCTCTTTATATGTATAATACGAGAGTTATATTAAAAGTAATGAGCAATTTTTTATAAATTAGGATTTTTAATATTGAAAAACTAAATAAATTGAAACTTGTTGAGGGCTATCGCTACAATCATAGATCATGTCAATATGAGCCTCAACTGAATGTAACAAAAAAAGAGTTGATGAAAACATTAAGACAAACAAATTGTGTCATAAACAAAACAATATGAAGACAATCCACAAAGTACTGCGTTACTATCTCTGGACAGCTAAAACAGTGTTCTATTACATTAAGAGAACTTCTAGAACGATAGGAAAAATGTATGTATCATATACAAAAGAATCGAAATTATGTAAAAAAGATTAAAATGGTTTTATACTTGGTTTTTTATATAACAACAAGTCAGGAAAAAAGTGACGCCGTCACTTTTCCCATTACTTTTTATAATAACAATTTGGTAATGTAAAAAGAATAAAAAAGTAAAAAAGTAACTCGCATTTATAACGCATCGTTACTTTACCTCGTCGCAAATAATGAGTTACTTTTTTTTAATAAGTAACGCGTAATGATGACAAATTGCTTTTAAAAGGTGACTTTTCCAACCTTAGCTTTCAGCTAGTTATCGTTATTGTCACAAAAAATTGCAACGTTTTTACCAAATCGTTATAAAAAGTAACGACAAAAATAAGAGCGTTACTTACTTTCCATTTTCGCAAAAAATTTTAATTTATAAAATAAAATAATTGCTCATTACTTTCGATAGTTTTAGTATGTACCTTCGTATTAGACTATTTATAATTTTATTATTCTTAAATTACAAACGGTTAAAAAATTCATAGTCGTAAATTCGTAGTAAAAAATAGCGGTGTAAACTCAAAACAATCTATGCGGCGTTTCTATAAATTCACTTTACGTTGATCTTAAATTATCACCAGCATAAAGTAGATTTAATACCATGGATTTTAAATTCACATATCCATGGTGTTAAATCTACATCGTGTATTAATTTAATAATAACAGTACAGCATTTAATGTTGATATTTTTTATAAAATGAAGAAAGTTTTGAAGATTATGAAGATAATGCGATGAAATTGTATAATAATTGTAAGTTGTTATTTAGTTTATTATATATTGAAGAAGACTCGTGTATAGTCGAAACGTATGTAATTTTAATTAAATGATTAAATTAACATTGTCACTAATATTAATTAATATATAATTAAAAAAAAATATAACCTTAACATAAGGTTATTAGCTCGTGATTGGTCGTAAATATGATATTTTTTAGTTTAATATCAACATGGTGAAAGATATATAGACATCACCGCATGGATGTAAATCCACGTCAGGGATGTCCACATCGATATTTTTTAGAATGCATAGTTTTTGCTCTTTTCTCTTCCTCTCCCATACACACACACACACGTATACAATTCACGTGTATTAAGAATCTCAACTCTCGACATGATTTGGTAAAAGTTGGCACAGTACAATGCAATAGATATAAAACACACCGGCGACAGTCGGTCGTTTGAAATGTTATTCTTCGAGAAACGTCGAGGACAGTCTTCATTATGCCTCGCTTCCGTAAGCTGCAAGATGAAGATTTCGAGTCGTGCGTGCCATAGAAAACGGCGGCTATCGCACAAAAACAGAAAATCGCGAAAACCTCGGCGCGTCGGGAAAGACGGCTGCCTTTGCTGTGCGAACCCGATGAATTTCTCGTTTGTGCAATTCAGCCGCGTAATCTAATGAGCAAACGCCGCGAACTTGGCGCGCGGACCGGAAATTGAAGTATACATTATGAAACGTACTGCTGCTGGCACGGCGTTTCCTATGCAAGCCGCGTGCCGCCGCCGCCGTCGCCGGCATCGCCGTCGTCGTCGCGATCGCGAAACCAGGTCGCGCATGTCGCGCGCGCGGCCTTACCCCCAAATTCGCAGGATTCGCACTCAAGGAATTGCAATTTTCTGATTCGCGGCCGTTCCGCGGCCTGTAGCGATGAATATTTAGCGATTGGTACGTGACTTCGTTGATATCCGAGTTGAGCCGAAAAGGATCGTTTTTAGAAGGAATCCTTCTCAGGAGAACATAACTCGCGATACAGGGAAAATATAATTTATTGAGTTTGCGATATGTATCTTTTTAGATGTCTTTCTCCGCAATGCCATTTCTTTCATAATAATTTTTCGCATAAATCGCGCGCATCCTTTATACAGTGGTAATAGCAGCGACGTTGGATTAAAAACGCTCACGAGTTTATCATATACGGCGCGCGATATAAATGAAATATAGAGTTACATTTTGGTATACATACCGCGATAAATGCGTGATAATTCTAATTTAAATTACTCGTTTCTGTGTAATATTCGTAGTGTATTCTGAGTGTTACGATATTGTTATTACTTTTGTTCGTTTATATAGTCATTCCGTATGGCACATTGTATTTACGTTAACTTCTTTGCGGTTACAAAGTCAGGAAAATTGTCGAGTCTTATATATATTATTGGAGAATAATTCCTCATTACTACCTATATAATCGTACATATAAGACGTAAGGGTCTTCGCGATAAACTTTGATCGTCAAAGTTGAATGTAGCTTTTAGCTTAAACTAACGCCACTCCCTGCTGAGAGCTTTAGGATGACAAACCGTAGATTGACGATCCAGAAGTTTCGTTTATTTACAAGCACTTTGATAAATTTGACGGTAAAATTCTTGTTTAATTCTCTCTGTCTCTCTCTCTCTCTCTCTCTCTCTCTCTCTCTCTCTCTCTCTCTCTCTCTCTCTCTCTCTCTCTCTCTCTCTCTCTCTCTCTCTCTCGCTCTCTCTTTTTCTCTCGCTCACTTTTTCTTTTTCTCCGATCTCTTTCGCTTAACTTAGTCGGTCAAACTTCGTCAGCGAATAGAATTTACGCGCATAATTAATCTTTTATACAACGAGGATTAATTAACTCGTGCAAATTTATTCGCAGCCAAAGGTTCTGCGGATCCATCGATCCCTATTATCATGGATACTGAAGAATGAATGATGTGTAGTTCGAAAAGCGCCATTATCGCCTGAAATTTTATCGAAATTTAAGTGTAACATCAAGTGTACGACAAAATTATATTGTGATAAAAATCCTGTAGTAAAACAATTTCAAAAATCACAACAAAGGAGAAATAAAATAAAAGTTTTTTCTGTAAATAAATCAATTATATGTTATTTACTTATTCCATTCAGAGAATATGTTTATTTTTCATATGTATTCTATACTGCATGTTTTTATAATATGTGCAGAATAAGATTAAATTAAACAATTTTTAACCGCAAAGGAGTTTTCTGAATCAATTTCGAATTTTAGCATAGATTATTTTTATTCGCTACAATAGTTGTTTTATGCGTTATACTGTAGTTCGATCGTCGCAATAATATTATGTAAACATCAAAGTGAATGTCAAGCGTCTATACTGATTTTATAATTATGTCACTCAAATAAAGAGACGAAAATTGAAAATTATATGAACATTTATTTCTCATAATGAGGATTGCTCGAAACTGTCGGAAGAACCATTGCGTTTATTAAACGAGAAAATTGTACTCGTAATTAAATCTGAATTAATAGCGCCTCAGATTATCCATTTTATATTATTATATGTATTGCAACAATTTTCATATTTATCGTCTAAATATAAGTGCTTATGATATAAAGTGTCCGTTATACAATGATTGTCTCTCTCTCTCTCTCTATATATATATATATTTTTTTTTTTTCTATATAGATAGTGATTATACGACAAAAATCTTAATTTAGATAATTTTATTAAAAATCTCAGGTGGATATTCATTCTGTCAGAATTGCTCTTTACACGTATACTTTTACAGAATTGTAAAAAAGTATTCGAGTTATTAGGCAAAATGAATTATTTCGCTATGTTCAAAGAATACTCGAAATGTTATTTCATACCTTTTAATATATAATTTTTTCATTTCTGTGTTTGCGCAGGAGTGGACGGACTACAATCTCCAGTGGAACGAGACCGAATACGGCGGAGTGAAGGACCTTCGAATTACGCCGAACAAGCTTTGGAAACCGGATATCCTCATGTACAACAGGTAATCTGGCCTCGTTACATCTGCGTAGAAACTCTCATTTTGTATTGACAAGCTAGTAGCTTCGATTAACAAATTTGTTAGGAGCATTTCAGTCTCGGGCGCGAAAGGAGTGTTGGCCAGTCCCTCCCATAATAGAATTCTTAATTGAAGTGGTCGGACTAAAAAGCCGCGTACTAACTACGCTCGTAATCATCGTGTTAATAAAGTGTGCCCAGTAAAAATATGCGTTCACAGACTGCGATTTCTCAAAATTTCGCGCTTTTAAACTCGGAAAGTGTTTTACTGTTTGAAACGATCTAATTGCGTGTAGATATTTAAACTAACAAGTTAATTTTGAATTGATAATAACAGCGTAACAAAAGAGAGCAAAGTCCAATTCGCGTTAATAATCGAAGAATAACAATAACCAAAATTGTTGAGACGCGAAAATAAAAATACGAGACGAGTTTAAATTCTTATTCATATCTATACGATATTAAGTAATTTATCGTGATATAGTTGCAATTGCTACGTATCGATGAGACTAACATGGGATTTCTATTAGCTCGCGATTGTAGACTGTCAATACTTCAACAGTTACCGTTTACGCGAAATCGTCGGAAAGCCAACAACCACATGCAAACAGTTTTACACATCGACTTGTAGGATTTACATGACAATCGCGAAAATACAATTCCAATCGTGAAATAAACTGGTGCGACTTTATTATCGTAAAAATATAATAACGAACTACATTTGCCCCGAGTAAGCAGCCCACGTTGAATTTCTCCGATGGATTTTAAACGGCCACTGTCCGGAAGGCACACCTCCTCTACACTCCTAAGAGAGAGAATTAAGATTTTTAAGAATGTCTTTTTCAGAAAAGCTGCGACGGCTAAGAAATAGCGCGACGGTAGCGCCACTGCAGCAAAAGTTTTTTCATTAACTTTAAGTTCGCTCCCTTGGAGACACTCCGTACGGAGTGTAAATTATTTTCGATGTACCTCGTACTCTTTTCACGTGCAGTTACGGTATTGCGAATGTAGTATTAAAAAAAAAAGAAAAAAATCGAAGGGTACGTAACTTTTATCCTAGTGTTGCTTCGCATCTCTCTTATTCGAAAGTATTATATATATATTATACATATACATATATATTTCTTTTATATATTAAAATTCCCTGAAGTGCATGCATTTACTTGAATCCTAGTAAGAGCCGAGTATATATTATACATTTATATACTCGTGTACTTTGTATATCTTTACATTTTTCATTTGTAAATATTGTATTCACGTAATTATTGACCCCAATCGTAGAAATTTTTCTTATATAATGGATCGATTCGCTTCTCGCTTCGTATCGGTCTCCATACGATGTATATTTCGTCATAAATAATAAATGTACGAAGTAGCGAAGCGAATTGAGCCAAACTTTCGAACGCAGTTATTACGCAGATTTTAATTGAAAGGCTAGAGTATATAACGAGTTGCATAAGTACCAGTCATTTTCATTTATCGAAAAATTCTTAAGTTAATCACGTCGTTCGTTTCGCATAGAAAAGCAGAGATTCGCGAGGAAAATTGTTTGGACAATCACACGATTTTACGGCTCAAAGAGCGAACATTGAGAAAAATGTCAAATCAAAAATCAAATCCTCGATTAAAACAATCTCTTCTTTTTTTTTAGATCGATACACCGTGGTCGGCTTATAGTCTCAGTCATTCTCTCTATCATAGCCTCTAGAATAATTAGTCTTAGGTATTTATAGGCTACTAGTTATACATATATAATACATACAATTTCCAGGCTGCTGTACGTGAACGTATTTATGCGATTCACGTTCGGCGATCCGCAAAATTAATACTCCCGTCGCCCGCTGCCAGCCGATTCGCGTGATAACAAAGCGGACAATGTTGATCGCGTGATCGACCTGCTTCATCGTACCCGTTCTCATGCCTCGCACTAGTGCGATGCGCTTGATGCATAAGTCATACGTTTTCGATCGCCTGACGCGGAGTAATCAGACGGAACGGAATGCGATTTGTTGCAAACATCAAGAGAGAACATTGATAATCGGGTGAAAAACTGGTTTTTTGTGAATTTCGATATATTTTTTTTTTATATCGACAGTAACACAACCACTGTGCACTAACTAATCCTGTCGTGATTGAAAACGGAATGGCGAATAAATTCGGGCGGTTTAATTATAAAAGCGGCGGATGAAATAACAGCGTTTCGATTTGGAGGTTGAACCAGATTCTCCCTTCCCTCCTTCACGTACGTTACACGCTCCGATTATTTTCGATCGGTTCGTGGATATTCGTCGTTCGACCAGGCGTAAATTAGATATTCGTCACCAACTGTCGACTATCGGCCTGGACCGAATTAACAATCAAATATGATTAGGATCGTGATCCATATCCGGAATGAAATATCGGGCCAAGTGGACTCATAATGAAGCACTATTTTTCTCGCAAAATTTTAGGTTAAGTGTAATCGAGAACTGCGTTTCATCTGGTGTATATATTAATCCTTTCCGAACTCACACGTTATGATTACAAACGGAATGCTTGTGTTATCTAATATTGTTAGTCGTTCCTAAATAATAATCAAAATTAGAAAGGCGTGAAGAGGCACAGTTTCTTTTGAAAAAAAAATGCAAATAGATAATAAAACTATATATCAAGAGATAAAGAAATACAACATATAAAAGGTTATTAAGGTTATTTAAATTTACACATAGGAAGAATAATTTTAATGATTGCGAATTTTAAGTAAAAACATTATTGGAATTATTAAAATTAAAAATATAAGTATCTGAATGATTCAGAGAATTAAAAATTAATTAAATAAAAAGAGTCAATGAGCCCCAGGTAACGATGTTAATGCAAATTAAAATGATTACAAATATGATTTACTTATACGTTCTAGTTTATATTAAACCATTTTTTCAGTGGATCTTATTTAAAAACTGACTTACAATAAAAACATATATACTTGCTGGTTAATTATTATAATAAGAGAGATCGCTCAATATACAGATTTTTATATATTTTGTTTAGTTTATAAGATTCGTGAGATTTACAACGGTGATTATTTCTGGTGTAAAATTAAAAATAGTCATAACAATTCGAATATAAATAAAATGAGTTTCAGTCAGGTAGTAATAAATTGTTAGTAAAATATATGTGAAGCAGTGATGCATAAAGCAATGAATCAAACGATCTATGACATTTAACTTTGATAAATAGGAAAAGGAGAAGACAAAGCCGTGTCGTGGAAACACGGCAAACGACAGAGGAAGACAATAGACCGATCCGAAAGTGCAATGGTAAAAGTGAAAGACAGTAAGTGGAAAGAGGAGGAAATGGTCAGCCGGACAGACCGAATCCACCTCCAACCGCAACTAACAACTAGCCAAGTTAGCTAGCTCGAGGTCGGAGCGAGAGAAATTTCTCGCTGGGAACTACCGGCGTTCTGGTAAAGTGTGCGGGATCACTTCAATTAATTAAAGTCTCGTCTCGGGGAAACTTTGCCTTTGTAGGTATCATGGGAGCGTACAATGACTCGGGACTACAGACGACTTTCCCGTGACCGATGCGCACAAACCAGAAATTAATTTTTCAAGTACACACGCGCTCGAATAACATCTTCTCTTTCTTACGTAATGATTTAGACACAAAAATACGAATTTTCAATTTCTGTGCGTGACGGATACGAATAGACGGCTCCAAAGTGTAAGTGATGACTTGTTAATCGAAAGTGACACTAGAGGTCGATAGGAAAACTGATGACTGGATGAGTTAAGCTTGGATTTCGATAGGTCTCTCTAGTGATCATTTTCAATTTGCTGCTTGTCCCTCCGCGAATACCGAGATCAATTTGTAATGGGCGCTTATTGTTTCATCGACGGTTTTGCCATAACGTGCTGTATTGTCCCGATGCGATCGTATTTATTTGTAATCATTCATGTCATGTTTTATACGTGTATAAATGTGCAGTGTTCATAGAAGCGTTCATAAGAGAAGTGGTATTTAATTCTAAAATGTTACTGATATTGAATGATACAATTGTTGCTATATTGATAGATATAAATTTAAAATTTTAAAACTTACTTTTAATTAACGCAACACCAGATTTTCATAAATTTCACTCTTAATGATAAAATATTTATAAGATTTTTATCAGGATTAGGAAGTTACCTTGTAAAAATAATTGCAATTACAGTTTCTTTCCCAAAAAATATAACTTTACTGTCACAAATTACCGATTCTGAAAAGTCACTTTTATAATTACTTAAAAGATAGCACTTTTCGGTTATTTTTCTGTTAATTTATTGTAACTTTTTGCATTGCTATTTTAAATACGAGAATTTTATGCATTTCTAACATTATTGATTTATTTTAATTATTAAAATTGAACATTCACGTATTAAAAGACTTTTAATTTAATTCTTAGTACAGACATTTACAGATGTAACAATTTTATCTTGAATTAAGATACATATATTCTAATCACAAGAAATAATCACCAATTTTATTTTGATTAATCCATATTAAAGAATAAGTTTGAAAATGTATAAAGTAATTATAAAACTGATTATTAAATGAGTTAACAAAAAATATAACTAATAATAAATATGATTGGATATACTCAGTGCGCATTGATGCACATTAGTGCAAGCTATCGTACATAAATTGACATAAAAATATGTGTTTAATATAAATATAGACATCGGTTAAATATAAAATCTCAACGCACTTTATTGTGCTATTAGATAAACTGATAAAATATGTATTTTATAATTCGAAATCTTTAATTTCACTTTTACACATAGATTCAATCAATGTAACGATTTTAATGTGCATCAATGCGCATAACTGCCAACCGAATTTGCTATAAATTAAGTTACAGTTAAAGATATAGGAAGAACGGAACGAAGTTAAGTTATAGTTACTGAAAAAACTCTAACTGTAACTTTGTTACAAATAACGAGTCACTTCCCAACTCTGACCTTTATA